GGCAAAGCTAAAACAATAGCGTCGTGGCTTCTTCCGTTAGTACCTTCCATGGTTTTTCTTACGATACCAAACTCATAGTAGGCACTTTACATTACTTCCTGGACGTGGCGCTTTTGACCAACGCCCAGAGACAAGCATTGTACCCTTGCCTTGTGTGTTCATAAACATTTTAAAGGTCTATAGCGCCATACTTCTGTTAGCCTTTCTCATCATCACATTGTACTAATAATTAATGCAAGCTCGACTAAACATCCAGCAAAATTACTACATATTCATAGTTTTCTCTCCAAGAAGTAGTAAAAGCAAGCGTTATAAACGATTCTTTTCAATAAATATTGCATGTATCCATTTGATAAGTTATATGCGTAAATATCGACGAAGGTTCTCGAATTGGATGGAGACATATGCCGGATATGTTAAACGCGTGACGTCATCGCGGACGAGTGACTCCCTGCATAGCCGCAGTAACGAGTCATATAATCTCACGGTTTAGTAGTTTGGGATTTGGGGCACATGATGGGATCTCCACAGTGTTTCACCTTTTACCTGGATGCATTTATTTACAAGGCACGGTAGCATATCAAGCAAATATTTCAAAATCATCGCAGTTCTGAGCGATTCAAAGATGTCATTATTTCTGTTGATGAAATCCCAGGATTTGTAAGAACGATCGCTCGAATGATACAGGCGAATTTGTGACATGCAGAAACGTACAAACCGCACAACATTGAAAATATACTAATATTTTGTGTTTTTGTTGTATATTCCATATTTGTTTGCATAATAAAAAAACATTTCCAACTTGTTTACAGTAGTGGCAAGTCTGGCCATATAAACTCTGAATCATGTAGTACGGTACCATATCACAAAATGTGCTGATATGAAATTCATGAAATGTCACCACAGTATGACGTCACACCTAGCTGATAACGATAAGCCTATGCAAACGATAAAGAAATAAGTGTATCTCAAATATAATTGGTTGCCATGGCTATGAGGTTTAGTAATGAGTTGTATGCCCTTACACGCACTAAATCACTGATTGAACAGATGTAATTTTTGAATCACGATATTCGTCCTTTACGTGTGAACAGATTAATTATATTGTACAATATGCGTGATGTCATCGTATTGAATAAAAATATATTATTTTTACACTATAAAAACGTATTTTCAATGATATAAAAAATCAACCGAACAAACTGATATTCCCATGAAAGTGTTTTTTCAAACTATTACATTTTATTGCAAGTTTACAAAGTATAGTAAAAACATATACATATATATATATAAAGTTGAAGTAATTCCACGCGGTGCCGCAACACGATTTTATAAAAATAAAGGAATTGTAAAAGCCTTGTGTAAATAACAGGAAGTTGGTATACGAGTATGAACTGACTTGTTACTGCATCATGTGTCGATCGAATGCTTAGTACATTGGAAATAGTTATCGTTCGCAAATATAAAAGAAACGTACATCTGAAGTGTTTAGCAAAAAGTAATATTGATAAATATATTTCTAACGCCCCTCACATAACACGTATATACATTATGTATCATTAGGCATAGATAATGGAACGTCTACTCTTAGTATGTCACGAAGTTATTTTCGCAATCCTGATAAGAATCGATTCTTCACGTTATCACGCCCTATACTATATATATACACCATATACTATACATACAAGGTACCCCGGATATACTATAATAAACTGTCTAGTTATAGTTTTGCATATTTTTAAATAATATTGATGGGAAAATAATAGGAAAAACAAACTTGAAAACAATGTAATGTAATTCTAACGTGAAGTGTTAATAGTCCAGTTTATTGCTTATAAGTAAGTTTAAACGTTATTATATTTGTCAGCTCTTAGGACGGAATTTAAAGGGCAGAAGGTGCTGTCGGTTCAAATTATTTAATACTGGTAGCTGTATCCAGGGCTATTTGTGCGAAATAAAAGTTGAGTATTATGATAAAACACAATTTGGCAAGTCTGACAAAGCACCTACAAACAAACATTGTCAGTTTTAATTGCAATATTACATGGCATCTGCTGTAAATGGCATTTCCATTGATATTAGGTGGTTTCATCATGGCATTTGGTCGGTCAAAGCAAGATGCAGCAAACCTTTAAATAATAAAGAATTAGACAAAACAATTAGTTAAAATCTAGTAGAATTGCAATTTCTTCAGAACCAAATATAAGTCTCACAAGCGAAATGTACGTGCACTAATTTTTAATTATGGTAAAACAGTAATGACAGTAAACGTTAATATTTTCACATGTACATAGAGCACGTTGGTGTAACACTCAACGCACATTGATCATTGCCATCACACATGCCACGGCCATAGCTTATTATTTGCGTTCCAAGCCTCGCTTTTATATATAGACGGAACGTATCGGTGGTGGGTCGTGCGCATCACAGGGGCTTGTCGACTGAGCGCGAAAGCCCCTTGGCGAGAACGAAGTTCGAGAAGGGAGGACACTCTACCACCAGAGTGACGTCATAGCTTTACAATTATTCGAATTTAAACAGTAATCAATCATTTACCTTAGAAAAAACAACACAAAAACTGAATACAGTTAAGTGCTAATCTATTCAAACCACCATCACTATCAAATTCGGCAAATTAGCGGCAAAATACACGTTTTCCCCGAGTCTGAATGACTACCGCTGTACGTCAGTCATTGTTGGGTTGTTTCTAATTGGTTAATAAAGGTGGGTGTGTGAAAGACCCCTTAACTCACTGTTGATT